GATCAACTCCAAGAACACAAAGATCCAATTCAAGAATCGAATTGGTGATGTCATTCTTTATTTATTTTTTGATTTTCTTCTTCCCATCATGCTAGGATAGATTAATTGTGTACTAGGTGAACAATGAACCTCGCATTGTGATCTTTTAATTTCTATTTTACAATTTGATATTTAAACACGTTTGTGGATGTTGAATGATTTATATACACTTTCTTATCCTCCACAATTATAGTGCACGATAATTGTGTAAGTTTGGGTGGCTTATTTTATACATTCGAAAGAAGGAAAATAAACTAAATAAGGTATAAATTATCGTAGGTTTCACAGGGATATAAATATACTGCTATATTTTACGTGAATCTCTAAATGTTTACAAAACGTCATGAATTCTTGTATATTGCATTTGTCATAGAAATATAATCAAATGGTATGTTAGAATATGTTCAATTATACTCGAAAGAGATTGTTGAATAAGTTAGAAATATTGATTTTTTAACCAATTCATCGCGTTATCAAATTGTGAAATATGAATTAAAAGGGAACTTTACTTGGTGATTCGGGATCCTAGTGTGTTTTTTTATACATTAATTTCATTCAAATCTTTAGCATTGAAACCTCATTTTTGCATTTAAATTGTAATTTTAGTTTAATTTGCAAGCTAGTTTTAGTTTAACCATAGAAACTGAAAAACTTATTTCAAATTTAATAGATTCGGTTAAGGTCGCGATACTAAAAATCAAGTTAAATTAATCCTCGTGAGAACGATACTCAAAATTCTAAGATTTTCACTTTATTACTTGTCAATGAACCGTGCACTTGCTGTAAGTGTTATGCCCTAGGTCCAATCAACTTTGGACATAAACACTTTGAATATATATAATCAATGTATATATATGACAATATCTATTATTTAATTGAATTAATATTCTAATAAATTAAATAATAGAATCCGTAGATTCAAGTCTTGGTGATTTGTTAATCACAAGGAGTTGTGATTGTGAGATACAAATTACATATGACTGAATCTTAAATCGTCCGTGGTCGAGGTAATAACGAGATACGGATATCGTTATTACGGATAGACTATCGCGTGTGGCATTCTTACTTGTGAAGTAAGTAGCTGATCTCACAAGCTAAAGTGTGGTGACACTTGAATGAACACGTGGATGTTTTGTTATAGAACAAAACATTGGAGACCCGCTGAGAGATTCCACATGGATAACTATCTAAGTGTTAGTGGTTAATCTCTAACGTTCGGTAGTGGAATTGGTCCTTTGACTTGAGGTCATCATAGTACCTTATATGAGGGCAGACATACTTTGGTGGTGTTGGATGTTGCTCTGTCAAGGGTCGCTAATACAGCATCGTTCGGGTATGTCAAGAATCATATGAAGGTTGTGAATGATCAATAGAGGATTCGTCACTCTTAGATAGTAAGAGATTATGATCTACATTTTATCCAGTTAAGTTAATAATGAAATCCTTGGCCAAGGTGAACTCATAAGTCGGAAAAGAGTTTTCGACGTACATTGACTTAACAGTGGGATAAAAGATATGATCGATAATTGAGATTGACACATATCCATATCTCATAATTGATCGGATCATATTGACGAAAGGATTATAGTTTCACGGTAAACGAACAAGTTTGGTTTTGTCATGCTACGTGATATTTCCCGTCACATGTATTGCCCTGATACATTGCTAGATGTCAATCTGGGACAACGAAAATGAATTAGTGATAAATTAAAAGGGGCGTTTTAATTTATCGATTTTGATTAGATCAAAATAATAATTCACGTCGTTCGGCATCGTGATCGGGAACCTAATGGGTCACACACAAAAGAGAATCAGAAGAATGAGATTTACCAATTAATTAATTGACAAGTGTTGGATAATTAATTAATTGGGTTGTTTATTAATAGGCCCGAATTAATTAATTGGATTAATTAATTCATGGACCAGATTTAATTAATTTGATTAATTAAATATTGGACCGGGTTAAGTTTAATAGATGGGCCGAGCCCATCTGGACTTATATTAATAAGCTGTTAGGGTTTGAAAAACAGTAGAGAATTTTATTATTCTTGCTAGCACAAGAAAAGAAAACCCTAGCCGTCATTCTTATTCTCTGTGTGGATCACCATTGGAGGCTGGACAATTGGACAGCTTGGATTGCAGATCGTGATCATTGGAGTTCAAGAAAAAGCAAAAGAGTTTGTGGAATTCATCAAATGTATCATTCTCATCACAATTTCTATCTAAACACATTGCAGATCCTCGTTTGGGAATTGAAAATTGTTTAATTTCCGCTGTGCATGTTAAGTAAATTCCCAACACTTGCGATGATTTAAATCTGAAATATATTTTCGTGAACAATATATTTTAGTATCAAGAAAAGGAATCATTATAAAAAGTCCATACTCGAAATTTCTAGATGTCGAATTTTGATGTTACTTTTCATGATGGTAATAAATGAAAAAAAAATTTACGTCCTATTTCAATTTAATCAATTTGTCCTTATTATCAAAGTCTTTTATCAGTAGTCACAAGAAGTATCGAAGAAAGAGAGGCCTAATGATATTAAGACCTATTAGCATTAAAATTTGTCCAATGTGTTTGTACTGTATTTGACTATTTAATTAAAATAATCTCGATATTTTACGTGAATGATTTTAAATTATTACTAATTATACCGATTACATAGTACCGTGTATATATACAAGCAAAGTATTTATGGAGAATCTCATAGCGGTCACTATTTTAACATTGATATCAATTATGTCACTGTACTTTAATTTGTATCAATTGGGTCACTATACTTTAAATTTGTCTCAAATTTGGCCATTTTGTCCAATTATGTCCCGTTGATTGATGTCAAATGTTAACGTCGCCATCAATAATTTTTATTTTTTTGGAGAGAATTGTAATTATCTAGTCAACACAAATTGCAATGACCCAATTAGAGACAAAATTAAAGTGTAATGGTCCAATTGACAAAATACTAAAACGGATTTGTAATCTCATCATCACTCACCCGATCCTTTCGGTTTCTTCCTAGACAATATTACCGTGGTTCCATCACTCACCCTCTAGCTCTTTAATTTCTCAAAAATCCGTCAAAAAAAAATATAGGGGTGATAAAAGTAAAAGGTCAAAAAAAAAAAAAAGCAAGATTTTTTTTTCTCCTTATCGGATTTCCACATTTAAATCAGTCAAGAATTTGTCTGATTCGTAGAAACTTTCATATTTCTAACCAATTTTAGAAAACAACCTTATCTATCTGGACATATTTTAATCATTCTCCAAATACTAAGGGTTAGTTTTTAATCAGACATATTTTTGCTTATCTATCTGCACAATCTGGTTCATTTTCTGCAATTGCATTTTGCGTTAGATAATGTTAGGCTTACCTTAAAAGTCCAACCTTTTTCAAGTCGACTTAAACTAATACAACTGACATATGGTGCAAGAATTAAATAAAATCAGCCAAAAAAATGACGAATAAGCTATAAATACTCACGGAGAAGAAACAGAAACAAAATTGGAAGATAAAGATTCATACTTTAACCGGGGTATGATTTTGAGCAGAAGAGATCGAGAACAGAGAGCTGGCCTTGGATTTTGAGAAGTGGAGAAGTGGCAGCATCAGACTGTTTCATTCAGGTTGAGAATTGGAGGTGGGCTTTGAGCTCCTTCAATTTATCTGGGCTTCTTTACCTTCATTTTTGTAGGCTTGTAGAATTCTTTTGGAAACATCAACTTTGATGTTAGTTCTTGTGACCCTCTCCTAAAAAACGTGCATGCAACCTACCACACATTTTTCTTTTGTCAACTAGACCAGTAAGAATCGAGTCGAGTTGTTCTTTTGCAATATCTTAACCTTGATCAAGAATGCCCTTTATTTTTCTTCAATTGAGAACAAGAAACTCGTATCAAAAAATCTTCATAGATAGTATTTACAGCGAAGTACGGATATTATTTACTTTCTTTATTTTTTATTTCGGATAATATTAGGATGGCTCAACCACGTGATTTCAATTTGGACATTGAAAGATTTAAAGAATTTTTTAGAATTTGATGAACTTTATAGATTATTTAGAGAATTATTTGACTTATAAAAAACTTTTATTTTAGGCGGAAAAAAATTTCTTGTATATAATATGTATTTATAACTTATTATACATTCTTGTTTTATAGAATTTTTTATTTACGAACAATAATGTAACAATCTTTTAAGATTTTACTTGCATGACCAAATAATTCTTAAACAATAACAAAATTATATTTCTCATATCAATAAAAATATATGATTCTAGAGAAATACAGACATATATAACACTTCAATACTCTTTGATGAAAAAAGAAACATCTAATGTTCAATATTATTAATATGTCCGAGCTGTTAAATGAAACAAGCAATCAACATATAAAAATAATTATAAATTAATATATTTTTTATTTAAAAAATTGATTTTTTTCATAGAGAAATTGGTGGTAAAAAAGGAGAGAAAAACAATAATTGGAGAAATTTTTTAAATGATTGCACATCCTTGGTTAACAATAAGGATGACATTTTCCTAGACTAAAGGTATTTGGAGAATGATGAGATGAATGTATTTAAAATTAATAGTGTACATATAACATGATTGATATATGTATTTGTATTCAATCGATAATAAAAACTTCTGTAACGTACTCTAGAGAGAAGTTAAATAGTTTGAACCTTGTTCCCTAAGTAAGCAAACCAAGGAGCCTATTGCACAAGTTAGGTGAAACTTCTTGGTCCTCACAATTGACACGTATCCTCCCTATCGCAATAGCCATATTGAATATAATAGTGACTTCAAATACATTCTCACAAGTAATCTTTCTTCCCCCAGTCGATCCTACCTACAGAATAATTCAAACTCAAGTTCTGATTAGTTCCTATAAATCCTTCTGTTCTTCAATCAATTAGTTCCTAATACTTCACGTTGGTTTTGGAAAACAACATTGCGATGGGTGAAATTGAGGAGTTGGAGCCACGAATTCGATCTCCACCCATTGAAGAGGATGCACTCTATGTGGCTTTAGGAAAAGATGTGAAGGAGAGTGTGACAGTTCTCAAGTGGGCTTTGAACAATTCCGGAGGAAGGAAAATTTACATCCTTCATATTCATCAACCAGCTCAGAAGATTCCCATGGACTCGAGTCAGTACTATTATATTTCTTGACTCTATTTGGTATTTCGAGGAGCTGTTTTTTCATCTTTGCCCAATAGATGGTGGCTCGGATTGAGTTTTAGATGATTGAATTGTTGTTTATTAAGATTTGGCGTCCATTGGACATAGGATTTACCCGTTAACAAACACTGTGATTTATATTTAGTTTTATTATTTGGAGTTACATTGGATTTCTAGACTTGATTGTTAAAATCATGAAATTATATGAAGTGAAACTCGCCTCATCGTTTGCTTATGAGTCTTTTAGTGATTTAGCTCAAAGGTTCGTTATAGTATTTTTGTCCCTTTTTTCTGAAGAATTTGTTTGACTTTTCTATTGAAGATATGGAAAGATTGTAAAGAATAATTTCGATGATATTTCCAATTGCGTGGGATTGTAAATAGGGTATCAACTTTGTAATAGAAATACAAGTTTATTATATACAATTTATATTATTCTAACATGGTATCAAAGCCGGTTTAATTTCATTTTGTAAGCTTTTGTTTTCGGGCGAGCAACCTTGTGCCGCTAGTCCAGTCAAGTTTCCTTGTTTTGATTAAATATCCACATCTAGCTATTGATTCTCATTTTTTTTCAAAATATATTTTTATTTCTTTTCAACCATATATTCTGCAATAAAATAATATTGCACGCAACTCAAAAATTTTCTTTCAATTTTAACTAAACATTCTCCATCAACATACTATTCTAAAATACATTCCACATCGAAAATGCAGCTCAAACAGACCCTTAGGCAAATTCTTTTTCTTTATTTTGTCTAGCTAAGTTTTTTTTTTTTTTGTTCTTGATTTGCTCTGAATTTAGATTTCAAATTAATTCAAATCATATTAGAGTTGGCTGTTCTTGTTGCTTCCTTACTGGAGATAGTTGATTTTTGAGAAAATTGAGAATTATCATGTTATATTTTCATCGGAATTATTCCCATCACATCTGTTGTTTTAGCCTCCTCGTGCGCCGCAGTTTGTGTTTCATCTGTATTTCCTTCATCTATAAGTGTAGTATAGATACTACCCATAAATTTTCAGAATGCTACTATTAAACATGATCCATCTTTGCCTATCTGGTTTTTAAAACCATTTGAAGTTTCTTGATTTGACCTTGTTCATTATACTTTTGGGTTTCTCCTTCAAGTCTGGTGATGGTTTACTTAAATTTGTGGATGGTGATTTTTCTTTCGTACCAACTTTGAGTCTTTGCTTGGCTTGCAAGCAATTTGAAGTATCTTTTGATCCTAGGAAGAGGAAGTTCAGATTTGATCAATTTAATTTCAAACTCAATTTGATTGTCACCACATCATATTGAGTTTGAGGGAGGATATTGAAGACATGGAAAGATTATAAAGAATAATTTTGATGATATTTTTCCAATTATGTGAGATTATTTTCCTTAATAGTTGATTGTGTTACATAATATTTCATTTTAAAGTTATTTATGACCCTATCCACTTTGTAATAAAAATACAAGTTTATTATATACAGTTTATAATATTCTAACATAGTAGCGGGTTTAAGTTCATTTTGGGTTAAACTTGTAAGCTTTTGTTCTCCAGCGAGCAACCTTGTGAGCAACCTTGTGCCCTTGTCTAGTCTAGTCTTCTTGTTTTGATTAAATATCTACGTCTAGTCAAATTCTTTTTCTTCATTTGTCCATATTCTGTCCAGCCAAGTCTTTTTTGTTCTTGATTTAATCTGAATTTGGACATCAGATTAATTCAGATCCAGTCAAATTTTGGCTGTTCTTCTTGTTTCCTTATCGGAGAGAGTTGGTTTTTGAGAAAATTGAGAATTATCATTTTATTTTTTCATCGAACTTATTCCCATCACATCTTTTGTTTTAGCCTCCTCATGCGCCAGGTTCCTGTTTCATTAGTATTTCCTTCATCTATAAGGTAGTACTGATACTACCTATGAATTTTTGGAGTGCTACCATTAAACATGATCTATCTTTGCCTACCTAGTTATTAAAACCATTTGAGGTTCTTGTTTTGACCTTGTTCGTTATATTTGTGGATTTCTCCTTCAAGTCTTGGTGAGGGTTTGATTAGAATGGTGGATGGTGATTTTTCTTTTGTACCAACTTTGAGCCGTTGTCTAGCTTGCAAGCAATTTGAAGTATCCTTTGATCCTAGGAAGAGGAAGATTGGATTTGATCAATTTAATTTCAAACTCAATTTGATTGTCGCTTCCTCATATTGAGTTTGAAGGATGATGATGAAGATATTGAAAGATTTTAAAGAATAATTCCGATGATATTTTTCCAATAATGTGAGATTATTTTCCTTAATAGTTGACCATGTGATTATCCCACAATGTTTCCTTTTAGAGTTATTTATAACCTATAAATGTGGTATCTACTTTGTAATAGAAACACAAGTTTATTATATACAGTTTTAATATTCTAACATCTTCTATGCGTTTATGTTCAACTTTCACATAATAATTCTCGTGTGTTCGTGTGTTCTGATCAAGAGTACTTAAGATTGTGATCATAGTTGGCTGGAACAGGCATTTGTAGCATTTCACTCCGTGATACAATTTGTATTTTTCTCCGGTATTTTTCTATTCATTCTTAAATGTTTGAATAACTAATGGCTAATCAACCGACAACCATGAAGTAATAGAAGCTGAATCTATTTTATATTTTATTTTTCTAAATCTAGTCATCAAGCACTAGCAAGAGAAAGAGAGAGAGAGATTGAAAAGGAATACTCTCAACATTTTACTTGTGTAGATAATTTATTATTTGCACCTGTTCTTGAAAAATTAGAAGATGGTCTCTTTTTCATTATTTCAAACATCAGCAAACATTTTATTTACATGCATTTTGTTTCTTGGTTCGCAGTGGCTACAAATGTTCCAATTAGACTGCTCGACGAGAATAAAGTTAGAGCATATCATGAAAATCAGAGACGAGAGATGCAAGAGATTCTGGAACAATATGTTCAGATTTGTCACCGGGCAGGGGTATTTTCTATTTGTCTTTCAAATGATACTGTTGTTTTTAAACTTTATAACATAATTGTGGAAATTTTTTCTTCTAGACCTTGGGATGTTTAAGCATGATGACCATCTATTAGACATTTCAAACTTAATGTACCTAACAGATGCAAACCACTGTATTAAGTATGTCGTTTTCGTTCCTTTTACGAAGGTTTCTTTTGGGACAACCATGCAATACATATCCTAAAGCTTATTTCTTATAACATGGTTTACTTCTTATCGTAGAATCAGGCAGAGACACTGCCCAAAGAGGTGGACTCTATTGAGAAGGGCATTGTGCAACTCTTATCTCAGCGTCGTATTAAGTGGCTTGTCATGGGAACGGGATCTTGTAAATCTGATCCAAGGTATAATGCTGCAAAAACTTTTACCAGTCCTCATTATCATTTTACTAGATAATTTAAAATGATAAATGCTGAAAGTTAGGCAATTCGACCTTAACAACACCTAGAGGAGGGTGAATATGTGTAGTATGCGGAATTAAAATCTTATTAACTAACTAGCAACAAGTCACTAATTAATTATCTCTAGATGGTTAATCATGCAGTCAATTTAATCTTAAGTTTAAATACCACATATTATACATTCATAATATAAAGTAACAAACGAATAACGGTATGATCACGGAGAAACCCAACTGAGAAAAATCTCCAGGCACTTTGCCAGTCAATCCACTATAAACGAATTTAACAACTTACAGTCTACCAAACTAGACGACTCGTACTATCTAATCACCCGACTGCACTCCTTATAGCTTTTCGTAGATCCCGTGCTCTCCTGTATCAATCTTCATCTGTTGTTGCCAAAGTTTTCCGTGGAATTTGTTGCCCTGCAGCACTTCAAGCTTTGTGAATTCGTTTATCTCCCGTGGATCACGAAGAACGACCCGTTCTTCACCGACTGGAACTCCAGTCACACTTTCTCGATCTTCAGAACTCTGATAAGATATAGAGGAACAGTAGTTTGGTATTTGGATTATGGAAATGATGTTTTTCTCTCCAAAACAAACTCACGAGATGAAGGTTGAAGGAAGGAATCGAAACAATCTCTCACAGATGTAGCTCTCTCAATGTACACCTTTCGAATTTTCGTACAGAAGTATTTTGGTATTTNATCAGGCGAGTTTCTGCTTTTGTAGCTCGAGCCAAACCTTGGCGACAGTCCAACGAAAATCTGCGCCATTTTCCTCCTTGTTCCAAACTCGAAATCCTATACCTATTTAACTAACTTTTAAATAAATTGCACATTACTCCTTCAACTTTTACACTCTATCAATTTAAGTCATCTTGTTCACAAAATTTGTCAATTAAAAAATCAACTAAAACCTAACAAACTCCCCATTTGGCATTCTGTGATTGATATTCTGTGACAAAACACTAATTTATATCAAGGCAGTAATAAAATAAAAGTTACAGACTCAAAATAATGACACAACCTAAACTACAGACTGTCTTGAATGAACTCTGCAGTACCTGTTTCCTGAAATAGACAACTCAAATACCAATGTAAAATGTGTAAAAAACAGTATCATAGATAACCACAGTTCAAACAATTCACTTGTAGATATCATTTAAACAATTGTAAGCAATTGTAACTCAAATAACATATTTTTCAGTTTTAAATCACAAGTTAAACTAAGACACAATATCAATGTAACCCAATCTACCAAAATGAAACATTGACACTGTAAAAATATCAAAAACTTAATTTAGCGAACTTAGTCAAAAATCATTTTATATATATATCAAAAAGAATTACATCTAGATAATAGATACATCATGTAAGCACCAAGAACAAAAACTACTATCCACCCTCTCCCTATTAACAAAAATTGATACTGCTCCAACATCCACTTCCCTTTTTTGTCACACAATGACAAGAGGTGAGCCTATCTATATGAAGTACCGCAGCGTCATCGGCATCATCAGAGTCCATCCTCTCCTCAAAAGCATCATCCCAGTGGCGACGAATCCATTGTAGTCCACGATGAATGTAGCCAACAACACCCCAAAGCGTAGCAAACTCGATAGTATGTCGATCCACTGTAGCACGCAGCTGGGTAATATCTGCCATCATGTGAGCCTGCCACTCGATCAGAACGGTCATCTGTCCCAAGAGAGCGACATACAGGTTGATGGGAGCAGACGCAGAAGGAGCCGACTGGGAAGAGGAGAAGGTACTGACGCAGAAGAAGGAGGATCCAAAGAAGAAGAGGAAACATTGGTGGACTCAGGAACAGTAGAGAAGTAAGTGAAATTTGAAGGATCAAATGAGATCAAGTCATCGTTATGATCAGCCAGCACAATCGGATCAGCCTGAGGCTGTGCGAGCTCAGAAGAGGCATGCGACCTGCTCTGAGCGATAGTGGTATAGCCAATCAGCCCAAAACCTGCTGCGGAACCCCTTCGAGAAAACTAGCTCCTAGTACAGTAACTAACCTATAGATGAGACAATCATAAGGTAGCCCAACCCGAGTCCGTGATCCTAAATGCCCTCAAGATCTGCTGGCATATAAAAAAAGGTAGATCAATAGAATCACCATGCAGCATGACATACAGGAATCGAGCCTTCTCCATAGGTAATGGAGAAGTATCAGAAACCAGCCACAGATTTGTGCACACAATACGCAACAAAATCTGCCAGTCAGTGGGTAAAGTTCCAATGCGTATCGCACCTAGACTACCTTCCTTTGGTGTGTTAAGCATCGTGGAACGGACTAACATTTTCGATGGAAGAGAGGGGGTGGACAACTCACGGAATATGAATAAGACTATAAATGATGTCCGAAGTAATCTTAACTACCCGACCCCTAAGAAAAACTCTAAAAGAAGTGCCACTAATATCATGAATGTTAGCGTAAAACTCCTGAACTAAAAAATAAGGTGGGGGTGTTAAATCAACTAAAAGTGGTTCCCAACCCTGGTAAGTGAAAATAGCTGCGAGGTCAGGGGACAGGTTAGACATGATGACCTCGCGCTCAAAGAGTACAGGACGCTGAGAGAATTGTGACCTAAAAACATCTTGAGCCACAACAAAAATAAACCTAGTTCGACTGTAAGCAGTCGAAGTACTAAGAGTGGATAGGGTAGTGCGTGCTCTCTTAGACGACATCTGAAAAATTCGAATAAAAAACTTATTAAAACCTCGAATTTAGACAAATGAAATCATGATATGCAAGGCATGCATGAATGCACACAAAACGAGGCAAAGGAAATGACATGCAACGTGCCCTACAGTGAATGCATGACGGCATGCAATACTGCCTAGACATAGGTAACATAAAGACGTGTAGAAATTAGATGAAAAATAGGAAAAAAAAATGCGTGAAACCCTTGAAAAATAACCTTAAAATTCAAAATAACGGGCCGTCGCTCGAGTGATAAGCGAGCGAGGCAGCGTCTGCTATCGTCGCTCGAGCGAATTCTAGCGATAAGCTAGCGAAAATGTAATTGACAAAAATAGAACTCCAAATTCAAATTTTAGAAAAATAGCACCAAAAATTCAATCAACAGANAATGCGAAACCCCTTGAAAAAATGGCTTTGAAATTCAAAAAGATGGCTTGCTTGAGCGATAAGAAAGCGAGGCAGCTTCTCCGCTGTCGCTCAAGGGAGTGCTAGCGAAAGTGCAATTGTTAGAAATATCAATCCAAATTCAAAAATTAAGAAAAGTAGCACCAAAGACTTCAATTGACAAAATTAGCACTTCAAAATCAAACAATTAAGAAAAATAGCACCAAAAATCTTCAATTGACAGAGACATACCAAAAAAACTTTAGAAAAATAGCACCAAATTTTTTTAAAAAATGAAATTAAGGTAAATCATGCTCTTGACACTTCAATAGTTCAAATCAAGTATTTAATCATAAGTTGAGCAATATCAAAATGACTTTCCCACGTATGCAGTTAAGTTCAAGATGGATTAAAGTGTATAAATGACTCATATGTGTAATGTGCCACTATTTTCTCGTGAAAGTGACTCCAAACCTTAAATTTGTGAGAAAGGACATACGAAACATCACTTGTTAAATAAGTATGATCCCAACAGATGAAAGTCAAACTAGACTAATTTTAGGACCTAAAAATGAGCTCAAATAAGTATTAAATTTTCTTTTCTCCCCCTGAATGTTAGAATATAGTATTTTTTATCGTTTTTTAGTAAATAGCATCTAATGTGTAGACCCTATCCATTAAGCAATTAAATTGACCCCTGTAACGAGTTTTAGGTCGGTTAACCTAAGTTAGATGACCATAGGCATCAGGTTATGAGAAATCCCTCGGTCTTAATTACTCGAGTCAGATAGGTTTCAAACATAGTATAAGATGAAACAATAAATCACTTATATATATTTTTATTTATTAATTGTTTTTTTTCACCATAAATGCATCAATGCAAGGAGACTATCACGAGCTAAGGTCATCAAAATGTAGGTCAATTCATGTTCAATGTCACCCTACTAACACGTGATTGCCATCCCAAATCTCACACACGCGGTTCAGACTTATTCATAAGATCATAGTGTGTACTGTGCAAATGATTACATGACGATACACATATTCAGTAGACCACATTAAACTAAACCAAGCAATGGAAATAATAGTATAGATCAGACAATTGTTTACTTGGTCTCACATAACAGGTTTAAACTTAAAATGATGTGTCGTTTGCCCAACCAAATATTTTTTTGTATTTTTCAGATTTTTCAATTTTTTTTTTTGTTTTAACAATACTTAAAGCAAATAAATGCGAAAACTAGAAACAAAAAAAAAAAAGAACACAAAACTAAATAGGATGCATGCATGAATGAATGGACACAATGAACAGCACGTGCATGCGCCTGAACACACAATCAGGGCGAAATTTGAATGCCCTTGCCATTAAGAGCACGACAATTTTTACGAGTTTCGAGATCTCTTAACCCAAACTTTCTTAGAAGTAGAAGATGATTGAGTTAACCGAGTCATCATCTCAGTTAAGTGACTGGCTTGATTGGAAAGAATGTCAACCTTACTAGTGAAATCTAGATTCTTATTTCTAGTCACACTAGGTTTGATGTGTCCCAATGCACCACATTGGTGGCAAGTGAGAATGAGCCGTGGTCCAAACCTTCTTGGTGGTTGTTGCCGAAATGTAGCACAACTAAGCCTACGCAATCTGGTAGGCCTCGATCCTATGGCATGCTTACCTTTGGGTTTAGGATAAACAATCTCACGAGCTTTGTTTGTAGTAGGAACGAACGTGGTCCTGAATGTACTAGCAGTAGTATCATGGTTATCAACATAACCCAGACCATGCCTATTTCTAGCAAGCTTGTTCAGCCCAAGCAGATTGTCCAGCTTCTACGAGCCATTGATAAATGATTGTAGTTGAACATTAGATTTATCAAGGTCATTAGTTAATGATTTAACTTTAATTTCCAAGTTTTTATTAACCAGCTTCAACTCATTCAATTTTCTGGTTAAGTCTTGAAGGTCACTTAACAGTTTTTCACGTTCAAATTCAAGCCCATTCACCTTTTCAAGATGGCTTTATTGGCCTTTCTAGTTTTGAGACTCCTCTCAAACAATTCACAATACGTCTCGTAAATGTCAGTTTCATTATTATACTCTTCTTCAGATTGTTCACACGCATTCACTCTTTCAACATTTTCAAACTCACAGTCAGATTCTATTGTAGCAATCAAGCTGAGGGCAGTGAATTTTCGATCATCCTCACCACCAAATGTTTCATTCTGAGAGTTAGAATCTGACTCCTCTTCACTCATGATCACAGCTAAGGCTTTACGACGTTCTATACCTGAACTCCTCTTTAAATTAGGACATTCACTCCTAATGTGACCATACCCATTGGACAGATTGAGATTTCTTAATGGGGAGTCCTAGAGGTGTTATTCCTATGCCTACCTCTCGAGAATTTACTAAGGACTTCACTATTTCTCTCCTAAGGCATTCTCCTATTCCTCATCACCTCCTGTAATTCTTTTAACGAAATAAGCAATTTCGTTGTCTCTAAGTGTCTCAGTATCAGTGGACTCGCTCTTCTCTTTTCTAATGGTGCTCATGGCAATGAATTTAACCTTTTTAGTTTGAGAAACAGTGAGTTAATAAGTTTGAAGTGATTGTACGAGTTTTTCAATCTTAACAACATCTAAGTTCTTACTTTCTTCTATCGCAGTCACCTTAGGTCTAACCCTCTCGAGTAGGGATCTAAGAACTTTTCTAATAATCTTTAATTCGAGGATCCTCTCACCTAGATTAAAACTCGAATTGACTGTGTTATTCAATTTAGCATTGAAACTATCAAACGTATCATCATTAGTCATCCTTATCTCTTCAAACATAATGGTCAACATCTGCAGTTTAGAGTTCTTAACAGTTGTGGTTCCCTCATGTGTGGTTTCTAAAATATCCCATACTTCCTTAGCAGTTTCACACATCAACACCTTCTAAATTCTTCAGCAGATACAGCCATGAACAGGGCATTAATGCTTTACTGGTCCAGTTGCATTCATCAAGATTAGTTTTAGTCTACAGACATATGTAAGTGAGTGTGACTACACCAGCAACAGTAGTTGAATGTGGAGCCCATCCATTTTGAACGCTAATCCAAATACGTTCATCCAAAGATTTAAGGAAGGCTCTCATTTGAACTTTCCAGACTTAACAAATAAGGGCCAGGAATTGAAGTATGGCTTTGATACCAATTGAAAGTTACGCAGTTTGACCCTAACAACACCTAGAGGGGGTGAATAGTTATAGTATGCGAAATTAAAATCTTATTAACTAATTAGCAACAAGTCACTAATTAATTATCTCTAGATGGTTAATCATGTAGTCAATTTAATGCTAAGTTTAAATAATACAGATCATATATTCATAATATAAAGCAATAAACGAACAACAGTATGATCACGGAGAAACCTAACCGGGAAAAAACTCTGAACACTTTGCCAGTCAATCCACTATAAATGAATTTAACAACTTACAGTCTACCAGACTAGGCGACATATACTATCTGATCACCCGATTGCACTCCTTACAGCTTTCTGTGGATCCCCGTGCTCTCCTGCACCAATCCTTAGCTGCAGTTACCAAAGCTCTCCGTGGAATCTACTACCCTGCAGCATTCCAAACTTTGTGAATTCATTTATCTCCCGTGGACCACGACGAATGACCCTGTTCTTCACCGACTGGAACTCCAATCACACTTCCTCAATCTTCAGAACTCTGATTAGATATAGAGGAACAATAGTTTGGTATTTGAATTATGGAACTTATGTTTTTCTCTCCAAAATAAACTCACGACATGAGGGCTCAACGGCAGACTGTCGCTCGAGCGAAGGCATGGCGATAGTCAGGCGATGGAGTTTCTGTTTTTGTAGCTCGAGCTAACCCTTGACGACAGTCCAGCGAAAATTCGCGCCGTTTTCCTCCTTGTTCCAAACTCGAAACCCTAGACCTATTCAACTAACTTTCAAACAAATTGAACATTACTCTTTGAACTTTTACACTCTTTCAATTTAATTCATTTTGTTCATTGAATTTATCAATTACAAAATCAACTAAAACGTAACAAATGCTACCAAGGGGCGGCAATACGGATCCAGAGTCCTCTACCCACCTTGTTCTACCTATAAAAAAAAAGATTAGGTGAGCAACAGTAGCCGTCCAATGACTAGTGTTGGAGAAATGTCACACTAGAATCAGGTGGTTCCAGATTGTGTATGGGTGTCCAGTGGGTTATGTATTTTCATTGAGTAAATATATTGAAGCAGAGATTAAAAATACATTCTTCAAGAGGTTAATTTAAAGTTCTCTGATCTTGTCTTTCTTTTTTCTATGTCTAGGGGCAAGGAGACTACTCTTAAGAAGATTTTCTTCTTCAGAAACGGTACAAGGTTGTTTTCTTCTTACTACTTCTATAGTTTATAGCTGCTTTGTTCAGCAGTTGATGTTGGAACAAGTGATAGTTTATTTATCCATGATGGGCGAGACAATGCCTTATATTTTATCTTTGTGTGACATGTTTATCTCTTTGAACTGTCTGAGATTATTTCTTTTCTTTTATGACTTAATCTTATTCCCCGCAATTGTTTTCATGTTGCAGAGAAATGATTATACCCAAGTCTAGGAAAGCAACCTATGTGCGTCTAAAAGCACCCAGTTTCTGTCGTATTTCATTTATATGGAAAGGGAAACTTATACATACAAGGCATGATTTTACTATTGTATTTTTAGGCTTGATAAGTAATATTTTGATAACTGATGCTATAAGCTAATTCAATGTAGGGAAAGTGATATACATGGAATTTATAAAGATATAAACTCTGCATCACCTGAAGCAAGTCCAAATGCCAAAACTACAGAATCGTCCTTGCGATCGCTATCAGTTACAGAAGGAAAAAATGATCGACTAAACCTATCAGGTTCACCTAACTATCGTAGAGTCAGGTCTGCCGACCTCGAGATGAGAAGATCGAATTCAGAAGGGAGCACTGATATGGATAGTTCATCAAGGTTTTGTATCCTATGATACTTGTAGTAGATTGGTTTACTTATGGAATTTCATCTATCTAATGTAGGATTTTTTTTTTGTCCCACGTCTAATAGGGGATTAATTAGCTCTCCTTTTATGTTCATATATAACCAACTCCCCACTTTGTATTTTCTCCTTCCCAATTTGAGTGATAGTTAGAGAGAGCTATCTTTTAGTAGGACTTTGGAGTATTCCTTTGCATTTCGTAGTATAAACTTGTTGGGGATTGAACCAATATAATAAAGAAGCAGCAGAAACAATTAATCCAACCCTCTATCCACAAAAATTAAAATGGCAACTATAATAGGCAAATCCAACCAATTCACACACATTGGCAGTAATGTAAATTGAACGCCAAGATTTGTTAACGAGGAAAACCCTACGAAGGGAAAACCTCAAGGGACCTAATCCAGTAAAAAAGCCATCCACTATAAAGATAATGTGATACACAGTTTCTTCTTTAGAACCAACTCCAAAGGCTAACAC